ACTGCTTTGCCTCTAGGATAGTCTTTATTTTCTTATATCATCTTGTTTGTTTTCTTCATAGCTCTTATTATAGTCTAAAACATTCCTGCTTATTTGTTTACTTGTTTGTGGTTATCTTCTCTAAAATATATACCCTATGAGAACAGGGACCTTATCCATCAGCCTGGATCCCCAGCACCTAGTGCAATATTTAGGATGTTGTGAGTATTTATGAGTAAATGATGTTGTTCCTGTTGTACAGACCAAAGAAACCTGATTCCGAGTATATGAGAATCTGGATTTATACAACAGCTAAACTATGAATTAGTTATGTATTGAAATCCTGCTCTTGTGCCAGGCACTGTACTGAGTACTGGGTACATAGAGACAAATAAGAAAGCTGCTACACTTGCGTTACCACATTGTCTCGACATCATGGCTTATTATATAGTAAAAAATTAAAACCAGATGGTTTAAGAATAGCAAAGAGATCAGTTTTCTTAATTCAGTAATATCTATTAAGTACTTAAATTGGTGAGAGAACTCAGGGGCTTATAAAAAGAGCAAACTTTTTAGAATGGTGGAAATACCCTGTATCTTGCTTTAGGTGGTGTTTATAAGTCTATATAGTTCAAAAACTCATCAAATTTAATACTTACCTCAAAGCTCAACAGGCTGAACTGTAATTATGACTCAATATAGAATAAAATAAATTGAACCAAGCAGTATTTGAGAATACAGTGGTGACCAAGACAAATAAGACCTTTGCTTTTATAGATCCTAGATTGTGATTGTGGGGACAAAATGGATGGATGTAGCCATTAAAATTCATGTTTCCAAATGATACTAAGAACTTGGGAAATGTCCCTGATAATAAAGTTAAAGGACTGTGTATACAACATGGTCTTAGTTTTGGTTTTTAAATATTTAAAACATATATATTTATAGAGCAAAAAAAAAAAAAAAGTAAAATGTTACCAACTCTTGACTGATAAGATTAAAAGTTTTTTTATACTTTTCTAAATTTTGTAAAAAAAATTCTATTTTTGATAATCCTAAGCATTAAAAAATATATACTGTACAAAACATACATTATACCTAACAGTTAGGAGGTAATAGTTTTCCCTTCATAGTATCTAAAGTATCTGTAATAGCTCAGCATATATCATACAGGTTCATAAGAGATAGCTGTTCTTAAAATTTTTTGTAAATTTGTTTGATTTTTCTGTATTCCATACTTGTTCATTAAAAATCAACCTTAATAAATATATTTAAAGTGATTTAATTAAGCTTCATAGGCTGTATTATTTTTTTATAAAGCTTTTCTATACTTAAATTGAAGTTTATCACTTTCAAAAAGTAAATTGCACTCAGACTGTTGTATCAATTATTACTTTGTTATAGGAGATAATAGTATTTTTTATGACCATATTACCACAGAGTAATGTTTTACCAAGGAATTATGTCCAATGAACATTTCCTGAGGTAGATTTTTTAAAGTATTAATGCCTTTTATTCCCTGAGATTTGTGGGTTCAGACAGGAAATGTTAAACTTAGGAATCTAAGTGAAGGTTTTCAACTTTAAATTCCTATTTATTTACTTTTTGACTTTGACTCATTTAACCTTTCATGATTTTTAAACTTTGTAATATAGAATAATACTTAAAGTTACTCTACATTTAATAAATATTTATTGAATAACTACTACAAAATATTTTACTAGGTGTTGGGGTCAATAGCAATGTCACACATTCATTGCCTGATCTAGAAGATAAGTGTAAGTCAATAGTCATAGTACTCTGTGGTGATTGAGAATGGGACTGACGTTTATGCTCGGCATTCATTTATTTAAGTCATTCATAAAACACCTTGGAGGTATCTACTTTGCTCTAGGGAGAGTGATATGTAGCTCCTTTTCTTATAGGCTTATGAGTCAAATTTATAAGCAGATGACAGTAGAGTGATAAACAAGGACAAAGGGCTTGGAAGTAAAAGTGATCGATTTTGCTTTGTTATATCAGGGAAGGGTTTTGGAGAAAGCAGTATTTGACCCTAATCTTAAAGGGTGTACACAAATTAATCCAATAGAATAGAGGTAGAAAGACAGAAGGAATACCTTTGCAAAGAACACTGGAAGGCAGCTACTAGGTGGTAGCTTTGGGTGCCTTCAGGTACGTTAAGAGATGGGTGCTGAAGCTGTCAAAGCAGCTATGCCATACTACAGAGAAGTTACTTTATTGAAGTAATGGTCTGTAGCAGTGCCATCCAAAAAACATGATGGAAGTGTTCTCTGGGCTGTCAGATATGGTAGCCACTAGTCATATGTCGCTGTTGAGCTGGTGATATGTGACTAGTTTGTCTTAGAAATTCAATTTTGAATTTTAAAAGTAAATAGCTGTATATGTGTATTAATCATGTTTTTTTATTTTCTATATTTTATGGTGCTTTGACACTTTGGGGCCAAGAAGAACCTGCACCTTCCCAGGAGTAGCTAATTCCTAGAGATAATAAACAACTTGCCTTGTGAACTCACCTTTCATATGCAAACCAACCGTCACCTTTATGTTACTCTCACGTACCACGCCTGTATTTCTCCTGCCCTAATCACCAGGGCTAAGTACTAGACAATTGCAGACTATCCCTATAGCCCAGAGCCCACAGAAATTATTCCTTTGCCTTTTTGATGGAAACCACAGTAAAGATTTGTGCTGGTTCTTTCCTCTTACCTTCCTCCTGACCAAAGCTGGTACTTCCCTCTGTGGTCCTGTGTGGCATGGTGTACCCCCTCTTCGGAATTACAAACAATAAACTTTACTTTCAACTCAGTTGTCTCGTCTGTCATCTTACCATACTTGTTTAAAACAAAATCCGAGGTACAAATCAAAGCAGTGTGGCTAGTGGCTCCTATATTGGACAACTGATCCATAGGCAGACCCCCTTCTCCCGGAGAAACAGTTCATTTCCAGAACTTTAGTTCATTAAAAGAATCTATACGAAGTATCTCCACTTCGATTATGAGAATAGAACAGCCAACATGACAAAGTCCTTGTCCTTACAGAGCTTCATTCTGGCAACTAACATTGTCATATTCCCAAAGATTTCAACTATATACTGTTATCAAGTTAAGTTTGCAAGCAGTTGCTACCAACTTCCCTAATCTAGTAATAAATGTTATCATTTATTATGTATCTTCTCTGTGCTAGGCACTCTTGCAGGTTCTATACATGGAGTATATAAATAGGTTGTTTCATTTAGACCTAATAACAAACCTTTGGCTTGGTGTTGTATCAAAAATAGTTTCATTTTGGGGGGATCCCTGGGTGGCTCAGAGGTTTAAGCGCCTGCCTCATGCCCAGGGTGTGGTCCTGGGGTCCCGGGATCGAGTCCCACATCGGGCTTCCTGCATTTTGGAAGAGTTTGTATTAAACCAGTCTTTTAATACTTGCATGGTAGAACAATTATCTCTGGGAAGTAGTTTTACCAAGAAAAGAGCAGATAAAATTTTAAATACGGGGATGCCTGCATGGTTCAGTGATTGAGCATCTGCCTTTGCTCAGGTCGGGATCCTGGGATCTGGTATCGAGTCCCACATCAGGCTACCTGTGAGGAGCCTGCTTCTCCCTCTGCCTATGTCTCTGCCTCTCTCTCTCAGTCTGTGTCTCTCATGAATAAATAAATAAATCTTAAAAAAATAAATAACACAGCTTAAAAGAGTTAAATAAAATACAGTTGTACTCTTAGCATAGTCTATTGTTAACATTCATTAGCATGCCTTGGCACATAATCTTTAGTTTTTCTTTTTCTTGACTATGCTATTTCTACATAGTGCTTAGCAAGATATCAGTTAAATACTCAGTGAAGATTGTCAAATGATAACATTTAAGAATAGAAAGGATTCTCTACAGAGCCCCACAGAGTCACAGCACTAGCCAGCATTTACTGACTGCATGCTGAAATGTTTATCTTGGTTTCCTTATGTATTTGTCTTCATAGATATAGGGACCATTTTATTTATTTATTTATATTCCCTAACCCCCCTGAGGCAGTATTTAGTATTCCCGAAGGCATTTAATGAACACTTAGGGAATAAGATGTATGTAATAATGAGAATTTTCAGTGTATGAAAATTTCAGTCTGTTCAGACATTTCTTTCGGAATCCCTATGTCTTACAAAAATGTAAATTAAAGCATTGAAGACATGTTTTATCTGGAATCCTAAATCAATGGTAAAATATTCATTTTTTGATATTCTGTTGTATGATATATTTTTTAAAGATTTTATTTGTTTATGAGAGACAGACAGAGAAAGAGAGGCAGAGACACAGGCAGAGGGAGCAGCAGGGTCCATGCAGGGAGCCCTATGCAGGACTCGATCCCGGGTCTCCAGGATCACGCCCTGGGCTGAAGGTGGCACTCAACCGCTGAGCCACCCAGGCTGCCCTATTTTTATTTTTTAAAGATTTTATTTATTCATAAGAGACACAGAGAGAGAGAGAGAGGCAGAGACACCGGCAGAGGGAGAAGCAGTCTCCATGCAGGGAGCCCGATGTGGGACTTGATCCCAGGTCTCCAGGATGACGCCCCAAGCCGAAGGCAGATGCTCCACCGCGGAGCCACCCTGGCATCCCCTGTTGTATGATTTTAGACATGGCGGAAATGTTTTCTAAACCTGTAAAATATGTCACACATTGAACTTTGTAATGGTGATCATTACTCTTGAAATAAAAACCAAGTTAAATATACTTAGTGTGAAGATAGTAAAATAGGATATTTGACACAGGATCTATTTCTCAAAGTTTTGTGTTCCAGTTTTACAAGTCTTAAGTTAGCCCACAAATAAAACAAAGTGGTCTCAGGTATAGGTAGCTTGATTGTGTTATTTATGCATAGTGTTATGTTATAGATAAGTTAGGTAAGAGATTAACATGAGAAGTAAAGAACAAGTAAAGGATAAATCCAAGGACTACATGTGCTGTTTGAGCTCTATTAAGAGAGTACTGTTAAATCTGTACATGTTCAGTTTCAGAATGGCTTCGGTTACTGCCTTTCCTTGGTGTACTTGCACTACTTGGCTACCTTGCAATTCGTCCATTCCTCCCGAAGAAAAAACAACAGAAGGATAGCTTGATTAATCTTAAAATACAAAAGGAAAATCCCAAAGTGGTGAATGAAATAAACATTGAAGATTTGTGTCTCACTAAAGCAGCTTACTGTAGGTGTTGGCGTTCTAAGACGGTAAGATATATGCTTACACGTATTCTAAAATTGTGCAAAGTTGTTCTTAAGTCCCAGTTTTGAGGTTCTTTGAGATGAATGATTTTTCCGCAGTATTCAGTACTGAAAATTTATATTCCTAAGTTAAAGTTTGCATTTTATGTTGGATACTTACCTACATGAGAAAAGTTACAGCAGTGCAAGGAAAGATAGAAATCTTATGCTTCAAAGCTGATGTCCGCCACTTATAGTGTGACTTTGGTTAGGCAGGTTTCTTAATCTTTAATCTCTGATGTTCAGGGTTTTTTTTTTTTTTATAATATGTCAATATTATACACATTTTTTAGGATGTAGTGAGATGTATGTACAGTACCTCCTTATAAGACGAGCTAATAAATGGCAGCTATAATTATGGATGTTTTTTAATGTGGAAATAAGTATGGAGTGATAAGTATTATAAGTAGCTGGTGAGATTTGTTTTCTAGTACTATGATCATAGGTTATTTGAAGTTTTAAGTATAGTAACGTTCTTCACAACTTTTTTTTTGTAATAAAGTTTTGGAAATAATCTAAGAGTCTGATAATGGGAATGATTATGGTATAATATAAATTATGGGATGTTAGGAAGCTATTACAAATCATGTTTTTAAGACTATTTTAATGACTTGAGAGCATGATGTAGTTATTAAGAAAATCACAGTACAGTTTGATCCCAATTTTGTTTTTAAAAAAGGAATACGCTTAGTAAAATGCATAGGAAAAAATATCTCAAAATCTGGATTATTGTTATCTTTGAGTGAATTTCTAAATATGCATTTTAAATTTTTTCAAAAACTATACAGTATGTGTGAGTTTTATAGTGGGGAAACATGAGATAATATATTTTGGTTCTCCCAAAACTTAATAGCTTACTGTTGTCTAGAAGACTTACAGATGACATGAGGTCAGTTAACACCTATTTTGTATGTTAGATGTGTTACATACTTTATTCTTACAATGAAGTAAGCTACAGAAAAAATTGTTAGTAAAAAAACCATAAAGAAGAGAAAATTCATTTACAGTACTGTATTGTGTTTATTGAAAAAAAATCCACAGTTAAATGGTCCCATACAGTTCAAACCTGTTGTTCAAGGTACAACAGTACATTCTTTTCAAATTTAAATAAGTGAAGAGAGGAGTTCTAATTTGGAGCTCTACAGAGAACAAGAGCTTATTTTGATCGCCCTTTAAACCTGTTTTATTGACTCTTGGAATAATCAAAAATAATCCAAAAAATCTATATCAAATAATAAATTATTTAAAATTATTAAACTTGCTGTGATATTGGAATGTAGTTAGGTTAGATGTAGAATATACATTACTCAGGAAAGCTATCTGATAATTTTTTCTTCAAAGTTATGTACTTCCTTGTAAGAGCATTTCACAAATATTCCTACTTACTGAATCATTTTTAAAATAACACTTGTAATTCTTTTTCCTTTCTAGTTTCCTGCCTGTGATGGTTCACATAATAAACACAATGAATTGACAGGAGATAATGTGGGCCCACTAATACTGAAGAAGAAAGAAGTATAATAGTAATGAATTAGGATTGAATTAAGTTGTGTGCTGTAAAATTCTATAACAATATTTTTTCATTTTTTATGTATAGAAGATCTTTTAAATGGTAGTCTTAATTATTGCTACTGGTTGAGTAATTATTTCTGCCAATTTATTTTCTTCTACACTACTGTTTATATTTGATACTTTGTGTATTCAAACGGTCATTTATATAGAAATTAAATTGTACAACCCTTTCATTCTTACTTCAAAGACAATGTCTTGGTTTTCATTAACTGAGAAGAATCTGTTTTTGGCAGTGGGTCCAAAGCTCTTCCTTTGAATATCAATATTTTTTATGGAATCTACACTTAAATTTTTTCTCCCTACATTAAACATATTATTTTTCAGTCTTCTGTTCTGATCATTTGAAGTGACTTTTCCTCTTTGGCCTTCCACACTCTTCTTTTCAGATCAGTAAGAAAAATATTGCTGTCAAGAATTACTTGAGTTTTCAAAGAGATAAATGCTTTGCTTTATAAACATTATGTCTAATTAAAGTGTGAATATCCCAATTTCAGAAAAGACATGAACTGGATATAGAAAGTTCCAAAAAGGAATAGTTATTTACATTATTAAAAAAATGTGTTTGCTTTACAAAGGCTTGTTTGTGTCTCTTTAGGTGTGTGTTTTGTATATGTATCATGAACTCTTTGACTCAGTGACAGGGTGGGATGGAAGGGGAGGAATACTTATACTAAATTCATGAGCTGCTGCAATTTGAAGGTTAATTAGAAATAAAGTATATCTGAACTCATATTAAAATAATAAATGGTTCAGTGATTCAAAATCATATACATTTTTCTCTTTATAACAGTATAATCCAATAAAATGTAAAATAAAGTATGCTAAATAAACTTATTGGAGAATCTTTAAAACTTGTGTAATTTTTTAGCCGTGGTCTATTTAGTTTTATTGTATGTTACAGTTCTTATATTAATAGCTGTCCTTAAGTCTGTTTATTAAAGGTACATCCTGTCAGTTTACTGTGTCTTTTTTATATACAAAAAAAAAAAAGGTACAGGAGGCAAACATTTAATTCTCCCAATAATAATCAAAGCTAATAGTTACCACATGTACATATGGGACATTGCACTAAGTCCAGTACGTACATTTGTAATTTATTGCATATTGTCAGTAGGTTCTATTGTGTGATCTTGACTCTCATGACTAACAGGAATTTTAAAGTTAGGGTTAGAAATATAGTTGTGGTTTTGAGAAGTTTTACAAGGTGTATATATGAAATAGTTAATCTCTTCCTGTGTGGAAAGAGTAGAAATATACCACTGCTGTCACTATGGCTCTGGGTGTTCTTTCCTAAAACCTTCTCTTTAACACTGTTAAGGGGCTTCACTATCAGATGGAGCAATTATTTTTCCATAGTTGATCCTAGGACTTTGGGAAAAATTTTCCTTACCAAAAGTTTGAATATCCATGGTCTGCAGTCATGAAATATTTTCTATAAAATATTTACTGCCACACAGCGACATGTGTATTCTACTGGTTCCCATACTTAGGTTTCACAGGAGAAGCTAACATTTCCTAAAAATGTGGAGACTAAAATGAAATTATCAACTTTAAATTTTGTCAACTAAACTATATAAAGATTTGAAAACTGGGATCCCTGGGTGGCGCAGCGGTTTAGCGCCTGCCTTTGGCCCAGGGCGCGATCCTGGAGACCTGGGATCGAATCCCACGTCAGGCTCCCGGGGCATGGAGCCTGCTTCTCCCTCTGCCTGTGTCTCTGCCTCTCTCTCTCTCTCTCTCTCTGACTATCATAAATAAATAAAATTAAAAAAAAAAGATTTGAAAACTATCTCATAAAAGGTAACTTTAATACCCCAAAAGTATAAGGACTGTACTCTCAGAATAGTTTTTGCTCCCCACATTTTCAGTTTTTGAAATATGGTAAAGAGCTGTGTCCAAATATTTTCCTACCTGTGCAGATTTTTCAGAAGCCTAGGGCTGGTAGCAAGCTGTTATTTTAATGACTCCCTTTACATAAGCATTATTAATGGCTGTCACTTCCTCTTGTAAATTCACAGAATTTATCTACTTTAAAAAATGGTTATCTAATAACTGCTTCTGAATTGTTAAAACAGAAGATAACAGCTCTTGAAATACAAGTCTTGGGTTTCTAGAACCTTTAAGAAATAACACTATTACTGTCATGGGATGGCTTTGAGGCCTGCCTCTCCTTACCCAGGGAACTGCTCTTCACCTTAATCAGCAAATGAGCACCACCATTACATAAATATCAGGTATTCAAAACTGTTGAGCAGGCTTGAGGTATTAATGATTCATTCATATGAGTAATTAAACAAATTGTATTTTAAAAGCACATTACAATTCAGCTTTGAGTTCAATGCCTCATACGATGATTCATTAAATGGCTTTTGTATTTTGTAACCTAATTTGTTAATAAGTTTATGGGAAGCTACTTAAGCCAGTTGCTGATCATATAGTTCTGCCTGCCTTATTGTGGTTCCTATAGTTTTCCAGTAGAAACATGTTATCAGACTCTCCCTCTGCAAAGAGAGTTTTAATTTTAAGACTCTGCTGTTCATTAGGGTTCTTAAGTTATGGTGGATATTTTATTAACTACCCACCAGAAACATCTAAATTGAATACCTCAGGTCCCCACTTTCAGTCTGCTTATTCTAATAAATTTGGTTATCTGATTTCTCTGAAAAAAATCACAGATATGGATAAGGTCTTGCTCTAGTGACAGGTAAATAATAAAATATAACAGCTGATGGCAGGGGAGAGAACCAAACAATAAATTTAATGTGAACATTAAAAGCTTAGCAGCTTGAGACAGTTTAACATAGGACCCTGCACATCACTGTCCCTGAGAGCATCTCTGTGATCAGACTATACAAGTGATGTTTAATGATGAATTTGATACAATCTTTTTTTTTTAATTTTTATTTATTTATGATAGTCACAGAGAGAGAGAGAGGCAGAGACACAGGCAGAGGGAGAAGCAGGCTCCATGCACCGGGAGCCCGATGTGGGATTCGATCCCGGGTCTCCAGGATCGCGCCCTGGGCCAAAGGCAGGCGCCAAACCGCTGCGCCACCCAGGGATCCCTAATGATGAATTTGAATCAAGATAGACAGTGTATGGTAGGAGACAGGATATGTTTTACATTTGGAGATACCAGTTTCTACTTCAAATAGTTAAAAAGCTTAGCCACTTAAAGTGGTATATCCAGGCGGAAAATTTATGCAGAATATATCTTGACTCATTCTTAGGTATTTGGAGGGTTATCATAGGAAGTTTTTCCATTTAATTGAATCATTTGTCAAGCTTAATGACTGTAATTCAATACATAATTTGTTAAAGTATGAGGAAAACTAAAGGAACAGTGTTTTAAACCACACAAATCATATTAGATGACCTCCACCTTTGGGAGGATAAAATATGCTTGCTTGAAAACCACTCAGCAGCAGGCCTATGACTGCCTCACTGTCTTGCTGGTCATGGAGTCCCTTTGCACCAAAGGTTGGACTGCAGAGGACGCCCATCTGTTTTGTTCTGTTTTTAGCTACACTGCATCATCTGAAGTTGTGTTTCACTTTGTCACGATAGTCTTTTCCTGGAAGCTCACTTTATTTTTTCATGTTCAGATAGTGAGTGCTTTTATCTTTTGCAGAAATCCAGTTTAGTGGAGTCATGTTATAGCAAGCATTATTTTAGTATAAAAAGTAGACAGTCCATATTAATTATTAGCAATTATAGTATGCCATTTTACATTAGTTATGGTCTTGAAGGACATTGAAAATTTGTTCAGTGAGGCATACCTATGTTGTTACTCATAGATGACATCACCCTCTAATTGTCCTTTGGTTTAAATATTTGATTCTTTACTTATAAAAAGAGTATATCTGTGACTCTATTCTCTGTTGTCAAATTCAATATTTACTGTTGTCAAATTGATCAGCCGCAATGTTAAATTCCTGATCTCTAATATAAGGCTGTAATTCTCCAATAATATAGAAAAGGGGCAAAGGGTAGGAAATTGCATAATTACAGAAGTGAACCCTGTGCTAGTGAGAAAATAAAAAATGTCAAGAAATGATTTACTAAATTTTCAAATTTCCTGTACTTTCCCTTAAGTATCCATCATATATTCCTCTGCCTTAATCACACTGAAGATAGGCATCAGTAACACCCATTCAACAAATTTAAGAAACTCTAAACTTAGTACAGTCTAAAGCTAGTTGAGTGCTGCCAAGAAGTGAAATAAAATGAAGATAGAATGATACTTTAAAATACTGCATACTACTTTATAAGCAACACAGTGGAAAACCTATAGGAAATGAATAAATTCCTAGAAAAACATAAATGACCAAAAATGACCTAAGATGAAATGTAAAATGTTAGTAGATTGTCAAATGAGAACATAAAAGTGAGGGTTTTTTAAGTGAGTTTTTAAATCCATATTTATTTATTTATTTATTTTTAAAGATTTTATTTATTTATTCATGATAGAGAGAGAGGCAGAGACACAGGCAGAAGGAGAAGCAGGCTCCATGCTGGGAGCCTGACTTAGGACTTGATCCCGGGACTCCAGGATCACATCCCGGGCCAAAGGCAGGTGCTGAACCACTGAGCCACCCAGGGATCCCCCTTAAATCCATATTTAAAAAGTACTTGGGGCACCTGGGTGGTACAGTTGGTTAAGTGTCCTACTTATGGTTTTAGTTCAGGTCCTGAGATCTAGTGCACACACCCCCCCACAACATGGGGCTCCGTGCTTAACACTATCTACTTGTGACTCTCTCTCACTCTTCCTCTGCCTCTCCTCTCCATGTGCTTGCACTCTCTCTAAAATGAATCCTTAAAAAATAAGTGCTAAGATTGCAAGGAAAATAATTCCAATGTTAAATTACCCCCTTCTCTTTTTTTTTTTTTTTTTTAAAGAATTTATCCATTTATTTGACAGTACAAGCCAGAGAGGGAGGAGCACGCTCTCCCCGGAGCACAGAGCCTGATGCAGGGCTCAATCCCAGGACCCCAGGATCATAACCTGAGCCAAAGGCAGACACTCAACCCACTCAGCCACACAGGGGGTCCTACCCCCAATTTCTTAAATAGGAAAAACTTTCCAACTCATTTAATTTAGTTATATAATATTAATATGAAAAGCTGATAAACACAGAAACTGAGAGCAATCTCACACATATCAAAGAACATTCTAATAAAAATGCAGCACAGTTAAAAAAAAGTAATATACTATGGCAAAGAAACCTGTACTCTAGAATTAAGAGTATTTTGATCAGTAAATTTATTCACACAATCACATAAACGAATTAAAGAAAACATCATATCAATAAATGCTGAA